GGGTAAAAGAGTCAACTAGTAAACTTTTTAGTTTCCTTAAAAGTTAAGCTGTGAACTTGGAATAAAAATTTTTCGGCCCAAACTTTCGCATGCTTGATACGAATATTTGATTCGGGCTGAATAACAGCGAGATATTGACAGATAGTCAGTTGTAAGTAAGTGGTGAATGGTTTACCATACTCCTAACAAAAGCACTAGGTAAGAGCGCAGGCGCGTGTTTCGTCGAATTTGGGCCATTTATTGACACAGCTGAAAATTGCGCGTCAAGTGTGTTACAAATATAATGGCTACTGATAAGCAATCAGTAACAATTGAAATAGAAGTATACCTGCAGCTTCGGCGTCTTCCCAAACTTTCCGTTTTAAGCGTTGTTTCTGTTCAAGGCGCTCTTTCTCCGTATTGGCTTCATCCCACAGGCCTTCTTCCATTAACCTTTGGTCAGGTCGTAGTCGAGAGTCAGTTGGCGCAACTCCATCCTCCGGTTCGTTTAACTCAATTGCCAACTTTGTGAAATTGTACATCTAAATTAAACGCGAATGGAAGAGGAGATAAGCGCGACACGATGAAAAATGCACACAAATGCTAACTACAACGCAAAGCTTCTGGAGATAGAAGAAGTATTCAGAAAATATGATCAAATAGCGTATTCTTTAAGGAAGCGGTCCGAATTCAAGTCAAATCTATGAACGATATCTCTCCCCTCTTACCGTTATTAAGCTGGATATATGCATAGGTAGCAGATAGAGGGGACGCATACATACTGATGCTGTTGAAAGATCGGATTCTCCTAGGCTGGGGCTGGTGGACGACGACGAATATGTGTAAAGCCGTCTTTACAACTTCCAGCGCCGTCAGCGGAGGCACTTCTTATCACTATGCATGCACCGCCGCCCTCGACCTCAAAACAATTTAGAATATCGTGCGCCAATCATGCGATTTTAAACATCTCAAACCTGGACGGCAGGACCTGAATGCGTGGCCCGAGCAGCAGTGTCCGACCTACTGACCAAGTGACTCCTATTTCAGACATCAAGTAGGCTGAGCCTGAGATATGGCTGACTGAGCAATACATATAAGACGGGAAGAGTAGCCGCGCTGCTCCTAGTTATTGCCACAATAAAAACTGGGTTCTTTTGCAATTTTTCAAATTTACGAGGAGTCTTTAAAAGCAATTATGTTAGTCGTCAAAAATGTCGAAGATGCACGGTTACAGTCTACTACCAGGGACCGAAATGGTATAGCAAAGGTAACTTTGAAGTCAAAGAGCTTTCTGAGTTGATGAGCCTGGTTTTCACCCGACCCTGGACTCACTGTTGAGTGGTTATTTTCAGACTAAAGCACATCAGACTACTCCAAGCGTAACAGTTCTTTCGCAACTATCCCCACTAGCGTTGGGTAGTTGAAATGGAAACAAGCTCATGAGTGGTGTCAAGCAACGACGGCGGGCCTTACACATATCGTCTGACGGGAAAGCTGACGCATCCTGGCTAACCATCCAACAAACTAAAGTAGATCATCCGGACTGCTCCAAGCAGTGAAGCCATGGCCGCTG